GGTTGATTAGATAATTGCATTAATGAGAAATTGAACAGGTGCTCCTAATAATCCTTTAGGTGAGTGTATATTCTTCATGACAGGGAACATGATGGCCTTCAAAAGATGGTCTAAATTTTTAATTTAACTATATTTAATAGTTTTTCTAACTGTAGTGATTTAGGTTACTGCCATGTTAAGCCTGTACTTTCTTTTGGACTGTGCCTCTTATTAGTTTGTTTGGATATTTTGTTCTACTACAATCATGGATGTGTGGGAAATATACAGATCTGTGTGTGTATAATAACAAACTTCTTTTCAGGCTGAACAGCTGTAATCTCACAGAGAAATGCTGTGAGGCATTGGCTTCAGCCCTCAGATCAAACTCCCCACCCCTGAGAGAGCTGGACCTGAGTGACAATGACCTGCAGGATTTAGGAGTACAGCTGCTCTCTGCTGGACTGGGGGATTCACACTGTAACCTGGAGATACTTAGGTCAGTATTACTGGGTATTTTACAATGTAACCTGTGAGGAAGAAAATAAAATCAACTCTCCAATTGCTAAGCAACCCCTGGGTTCGCCACAAAAAATAAAACTCTGGACCTTGTAGTTGGTGAGCAGTTTTCTCCTTTATTCAGCAATCCAGCACAGCACTCCAGTCACACTCTGGCACGAGACAAAAAAACAATCAGTTAATAAACTGTAACACCTAATACCCTATAAGGGCTGCCAAGTCCTGATTGGTCACAAAACACCAACAAACCAAACTCAAACATTCAACCAATATAATTCTCCACCTCTATTGGTCTACCTTAATATCAGGGTAACATCCACCTATTTTGCTCAGTTGTCAAAACATTCTATTTTTCTGTACTGCTAGACTTCTACTATGGATATGGATATATTATGAGTATTATGGAAACACAACTACAGATACATGATTAATCCTGCTCATGCATTTAAGTTACCGTATAACATATTGCGACTACTCTAGATCTACGATATTTCATGCACCCCCTTAACCAGTTGGGGCAGCTTTGAATCCCTTCCTGCAGGTGCCCCCCCCCCCCCCCTTTTTGCTGCCCATCTCTCCAAGGTCTTCACGTCCTGCAAAATTGACTACAAGGACACACAGTATCCAAAACAATATCTTCATGCCTAAGGCCTATAACGTACAGATCCACTATGCCTCCCTCTCCTGGCCTACCAATTTTCAATTTTCTTTCCACACCAGTAGATACTGAGGTCAGTATTATTGGGTATTCCATACTGTAAACTGGAGATACTGAGGTCAGTATTCCTGGGTATTTCATACTGTAAACTGTAATTATTGAAATCTTTATTGGAGTAGTCACATTTACTTAAAACTAATAATTGTAATGGTAAGGTGACCTTATTTACTGGAACTAATGCAGTGTTTTTTCTGTCTCTCTGCAGGCTGTCAGGCTGTAGAGTCACAGAGAAAGGCTGTTCTTCCTTGGCTTCAGCTCTGAAGTCAAACGCCTCACATCTGAAAGAGCTGGATCTGAGCTACAATCACCCAGGAGACTCAGGAGTGAAGCTACTCTCTGCTGTACTGGAGACTTCCAGCTGTAGACTGGAGAAACTGAAGTGAGTACAGAATAAAAATTGTACAAAAAGGGACTAGGCATCAGGAAACCCATAATGTATTTCAGCAGTGACATAATAAACAAACACAAATAGCTTCTTTTTCTTTTCCTACTTTCTTTTATCTCACAAATTTATCAGCACTTGTTCCAGGTTGGAAACAATTAATCAGTGAAGCATAGAACCGGTGCTAATTTTGCAGTTAATATTATGCATAAAAATATAATCTACACCAAACAAAACCATGATGATTGGTAAAATACTTTTTATTTAATTCCTTTTTCTAAAAAAAATCTATTCTATCATGGTCCCTATTCTCCTCATTTGCATTTAACATACAGTGCACCTGTTCAAAATCTGCATCTATAATTGTTTAATTTTCCTAAGGGTGGACCGGTGTGAACTCACAGAGAAATGCTGTGAGGCACTGGCTTCAGCTCTCAGATCAAGATCCTTGTACCTGAGAGAGCTGGACCTGAGTGACAATGACCTGCAGGATTCTGGAGTGAAGCTGCTCTCTGCAGGACTAGGGGATTCACACTGTAACTTGGAGATACTGAGGTCAGTATTACTGGGTATTCCATACTGTTACCTGGAGATACTGAGGTCAGTATTACTGGATATTCCATACTGTTAACTGGAGATACTTAGGTCAGTATTACTGGGTATTCCATACTGTTAACTGGAGATTCTGAAGTCAGTATGACTGGGTATTTCACACAGACTGCTATGATGGGGCATGACATAAGGTATCATGAGATGATCCACTTAGTGGCTCCAAAAACAAAAAGACTTTATTAAACTAAAAAAAAACATTAAATGAAACAAGTAAATGACAAAACTAAGGCAGGGAAGACCACAGGAAACTACATTAAAACTTAGGTAAGAAGCAACACAGGAACAACCACTCTAACACGGAAAACTACCATGGCTACAAACACACAGTAGCAACCAGAAGGTGACACAATTGAACACAATGACCAACTAAGGAACAGAATGAGGGCATGCACTAGGAACTACCAACCTGGAAAATAATAGGAGAAGGGATGACCAGCGACACCCACTGGCCAAATGGGGAAATGACACTTGGACCAGGGCAGGACAGGGACAGATCCTGATACTGTCAACTGGAGATACTGAGGTCAGTTTTACTGGGTATTCCACAATTGTGTTAAAATGATGTGAGGGGGATATACTGTAGGGCTCTTGAAGGAACAAACAGGCACGCTCAAAAACACTTTAATAAAATAATACAAAATAACCTTGCATTAAAATCAATACCAAGATATTGTATCAAAAGCTATGCAAAAATAACCTCATATTACAAGTGATATCAAATAGTATTATATATCACAGGCAATAAAAATAGGTGCAAAGATACGAATATATATATAATATTATATATATATAAAAGAAGCAATAAAACATAGAAAATGTGAATTATTATCACAAGCAGTGATAATTAATCCCAATACTCAATGAAATGCACAAGCAGCTATTCACACTCAAACATGCCATCATCACCCACCTTCACTCTTAGACTGGGGAGCCCATTTCCTGACAGGAGACCAACACATGAGTCCCGAGAAATGCTGGGCGATGCGCACTTTATCCCACGGCTGAGCTCTGGTCAACACTAGGATCTCCCCCTTCCTTTATACTAATTTTTGGCGCTGCGTGCGGGCAGGTGATGAGCTGGCCAGGCTCACCCCTCCCCTTAGCTTCTCAAATTTCCAATATTTTCCAGGGTAACGCCGCTTGCGGTTTTGATCAAAAATAAAAAAATAAGTTCCCATAATTAATACGTTCCCCTCTTCCTGAGGATGTGGTAAGCGTCCCACACCCCGATCGCTAGGGATGGTTTCAATAAAAAAAACAATCCATCCATCCATCCATTAACTACCGCTTGTCCGGGGTTCGGGTCGCGGGGGAAACAGCTTCAGGAAAGATACCCAGACCTCCCTCTCCTCAGCTACATCTATCAGCTCTTCGGGGAGGATGCCAAGGCGTTCCCAGGCCAGCCGAGAGATATAATCCCTCCAGCGTGTCCTGGGCCTGCCCCGGGGCCTCCTCCCTGTAGGACATACACGGAAAACCTCTCCAGGTAGCCATCCAGGAGGCATCCGCACCAGATGTCCAAACCACCTCAACTGGCTCCTTTCGACATGGCGAAGCAGCGGTTCTACTCTGAGACTCTCCCGGATATCCGAACTTCTCACCCTATCCCTAAGGGAGAGCCCAGACACCCTGCAGAGAAACCTCATTTCGGCCACCTGTATTCGCGATCTCATTCTTTCGGTCATTACCCATAGCTCATGACCATAGGTGAGGGTAGGGACGAATATGGACCAATAGATCGAGAGCTTTGCTTTCCGGCTCAGTTCTTTCTTAGCCACGATTAACTGGTTAAGCGCCTGCAAAACTGTAGACGCCGCTCCGATTCGTCTGTCCAGCTCCCGATCTCGCCTGCCCTCACTCGTGAACAAGGCCCCGAGATACTTGAACTCCTCTACTTGAGGCAGTACATCTTCCCTGACCTGAAGAGGGCAATCCACCTGTGTCCGGCTGAGAACCATGGTCTCGGACTTGGAGGTGCTAATCCTCATCCCCGCCACTTTGCACTCGGCTGCGAACCGCCCCAGAGCACACTGGAGATCCCCAGCAGATGAAGCCAACAGGACGACATTGTCTGCAAAAAGCAGCCAGGCAATCCTGAGGCCACCAAACTGGACACCCTCAACACCCTGGCTGTGCCTAGAAATCCTGTCCGTAAATATTATAGACAGGACCGATGACAAAGGGCAGCCCTGGCGGAGCCCAACCACGCACTGGGAACACGTCCGACTTATTACCGGCAATGCGGACCAAGCTTCTGCCCCGTTCATACAGGGACCGAATCGCCCACAACAGTGGACCCCGAACCCCATACTCCTGAAGCACCCCCCACAGAGCACCTCGGGGAACCTGGTCGTAAGCCTTTTCCAAATCCACAAAACACATGTAGACTGGATAGGCAAACTCCCAGGCCCCCTCCAGTATCCTTGCAAGGGTATAAAGCTGGTCCAGTGTTCCATGGCCCGGACGAAAACCGCATCTGAGATTCGACTATCGATCTCACCCTCCTCTCCAGTACCCCGGAATAGACTTTCCCAGGAAGGCTGAGAAGTGCGATCCCCCTGTAGTTGGAACACACCCTCTGGTCCCCCTTCTTAAATAAGAAACAAAAAACAATAAGATTGGTCAAACAATAAGCGTCCATTATGCCGATCCTCCCCTTCCTCCTTAAGACGAGATAAGCATCCCACATACCGATCCTACAGTAGGTACAACATATTGGGCCAGCTGTTCTCCTCTTCAGGAAAGACCCCTTAGAAAAGCAAAGTAAGTGTTCTTGAACAGAGTGAGCATCCCGTAAATCAGAAATAACAAGATAAGCATCTTTGAACAGAATAAGTATCCCGGGACAAGATTTTTAGGACTAGAGAAGCATCCTAGCCCCTTTCATAAGAAACAAGTTAAAAACAAGTTATACAAGTAATCAGTAAAAAACATGTTTGAACAATTCAACCTTAGCACAATAATATTATGGGTGAATCATGGACGATGTATCTGAATTTCAGGATCAGAATCAATCCACACCTCAATCACCTCATATGTATGTGCGCTAGGTGGGGTTGAACAATCATGACTGCTTAGAATATTACAGTAATAGTAAGACAGTTAACAACTCTTATTAATCTAAGCAATTTACATGGAGGTTTTCCTATGCTACGTGGGCGACGTAATCGTCTGCGAATTCATCCTAATACAGCATTGTAAAATGAAGATCCTGAGGTCAGTATTACACAACAGAAAAAAAGGGTCCAGTGTATTCCACACTGTAGATTGTAATTATTGAAATCTTTATTGGAGTAATCACATTAAAAGTAATACTTTTAACGTAAACTCCTTATTTAAAGAAGAGTTTATTTCTGTCTCTCTGCAGGCTGTCAGGCTGTAGAATCACAGAAAGAGGCTGTTCTTCCCTGACTTCAGCTCTGAGGTCAAACCCCTCATACCCGAGAGAGCTGGACCTGAGCTACAATCACCCAGGAGACTCAGGAATGAAACTGCTCTCTGCTGTACTGGAGGATTCCAGCTGTAAACTAGAGAAACTGAAGTGAGTACAGGGTTTGCATCTGTCTCTGCTAACAACACATGTACATTATATAGACAAAAATATTGGGACACCTGACCATTACACCCTCAGGAATTTTTATGATATCCCATTCTAAATCCTTAGGCATCAGTACAGTCCCCCCTTTGCTGCTATAACAGCTGGCACTGTTCTGAGAAGGCTTTCCACAAGTTTATGGAGTGTATCTGTGGGAATATTTGCCCATTCATCCAGCAGAGCATTTGTGAGGTCAAACACTGATGTTGGACATGAAGGCCTGGCTCATAATCTCTGCTTTAGTTCATCCCAAAGGTGTTGAGTGATGGGGTTGAGGTTGGGGCTCTGTGTGGGCCAGTAAAGTTCACCAAACTCACCCAACCCTTTCTTTATAGATGTTGCTTTGTGGACTGGGGCACAGTCATGCTGGAATAGAAAAGGGTCTTCCCCAAACTGTCCCCACAAAGCTGGAAGCATATAATTGTCTTGGTATGCTGAAGTATTAAGAGTTCCCTTCACTGGAACTACGAACACTAGCCCTACCCATGAAAAACAACCCCATACCATTATTCCTCTTCTACCAAACTTTACAGTTGGCACAATGCAGTCAGGCATTGCCAAACCCAGACTCATCCATCAGATTGCCAGACAGAGAAACTAGATTCATCACTCCACAGAACATATTTCCACAGCTCCGGAGTCCAGTGGCAGCGTGCTTTACACCACTCATTCCGATGCTTGGCATTTTGCTTGGTGATTTGAGGCTTGTAAGCAGCTGCTTGGCCATGAAAGCCCATTGCATGAAGCTTCTGGTACACAGTTTTGTGCTTGTGCTAATGGTAGAGGAAGTTTGGAAAGGTGCAGTTATTGAGTCAACAGAACACTGGCGAGTTTTGTGCACTATGCAGCACTCAGCGTCCCCACTCTGTTACTTTATGTGGTTTGCCACTTTGTAGCTGAGTTTCTGTTGTTCCTAAATGCTTCCTTTTTTTGCAATAATACCGTTTACAGTTGATCATGGAATATCTAGCAGGGAAGAAAATTCACAAACTGCCTTATTGCAAAGGTAGCATTCTATGGCAGTACCATGCTTGAATTCACTGAGCTCTTCAGTACAACCCATTCTTTCACAAATGTTTGTAAACCTATTTGCATGACGAGGTGCTTGATTTTATACACCTTTGCCAATGGAACTGAATGAAACACCTGAATTCAATTATACTTTTGTCTATATAATGTATGTGGAGACGATGCAACAGCTAACACACCTGTACTGCTTCTCCTGTAGTATGGACCACAATGAAGAGTGCAGGACCAGACCAAGGTTCCATAAATGTAAGTTTGTATGTTTTTAGTAATAATACGATTGATAGTATTTTTTGATTGTAATAATGCAATTATTGTGATGTGTGTGTTTTTTGTGCTGTATGTAGAGAGATTTCCATTTTTATGTTTAGGTGATTTTCTGTGTGTGTGTGTTTGTGTGGATTATGTTTATATTACATTGTGTGGACATTTGGTCCCCACAATGTGATAAAAGCCTGTTATTTTGATGTTGTGGGGACCATTTTTTCGGTGCCCACAAGGGGAAACTCAATTTTATAACAATCTGTGATGGTCCCAACAAAGATATGAGTACAGGTCTGTGTATGCGTGTGTGTGTGTTTGTGTGTGTGTGTGAATGGGCCATGCTCACAAGGTGTTGTGATGCGTCTGGTGCAATAAGCTAGTGACCTGTTGCATGTAGGGATGCTTGTGACATCTCAATATTAACCTCTGCTGCTGGCTAACCCAGGTTCTGGATAAAGAAGGCCGAGTGTATAAGTCTTATGAGGTTAATACAAAGCCTCTCTACAGAAGCCCTGAAGAGCAAAACACACCAGCAAATACAAAAACATGCCAGCAAATACAAAAACACTACAACATTAGTGGCACTGAATAAGGACACGGTATGTACCTACTGATTATCACGTACATGTTACTGATTGGACAGATATCACAAAATAAGTTATCTCAAGAAAACAAAAGTTAAGTTATTAAGCTAAGTAATTAAACAAGGGAACCACATTTGTCAAGAGTAATGCTACATTCACACTGCGAGCGGCGAGAGCGTCAAAGCGACCGGAAGTCATTCATTCTCTATGGGAGGGAGCGT